GATCTTCATCCATTTCGGGAAGTGGCATATGATCTAGAACCAATGGTAATGAAGGAAGAAGTCAAAGCTGCAATGAAAGAACTGGTGAAGAACAAGGCTCCGGGAATTGATGGCATACTGATTGATGGCATAATTGTTGTACTCAAATAAATTTTCACCAATGCTTTCTGCAACAAAAGAGATTTTTTATTTTGACATATCAGAAAATGAAAGTGAATAATGGGAAATTGGCTGCAAGCACTATGGCTATAAACATGCCAAAATCCAAAGAAATAAAATCAATAGGTGCTTTTTATACAATTTGAACAAGTGCTGATTCATTGTAGGGTCTTTCATCATGTCCTTTACAATTATTGGAGCACATACTATGAGTTATGAGTAAATTACCTACATGCCATGACTGGTCAAAGTAAAATAAATAAATAAATAAAAAGAACTAAAATTATGATTCTGTAACTGTGGTAGTTAAGGTTATGTGTCATCTTGGCTGGTCCTGCTTTTCAGTGATTGGGCAGCTGGATGTAGTTATTCCCTATGTTGAGACTGGTAATCAGCTCCATGGTGAAATCTGCTGTGAGTAGCTGAGTAGCTGCCTTAGGGATGTGGTCTGCTTCTAGCATGTAAGAAACTTTGGGAAAGGTCTGTAGCTTTTTGGCATGCTTGGATACTGCATATAGTTGAGTCTACATTCAGCAACCTGTCATGTTGTCTTCCAAGTTTCTGGACTTGAACTAGTGGCTTTCTGTGTTGCTTGATAATCTTGGGACTGTGCCATTTTAATTGTCACCCTTGAGTTTGTCAGCCTCAGCAGTCAACAGCTGCTTGAGTTAAGAGACACCTTCAGCTCCAGTGGGTCAGGAGTATGAGGCAGAGCTGAAGCCCAAGGTTGAGTGGCCTTTAGCCAGCCCCTAGAGCTGGCACTTGAACTCAGACGTGTAGCCTCCTAAACTGCAGGATAATGAATCCCTGTTTGTCAAAGCCATACATTTGTGTATTTCTGTTGCAGCAGCAGTAGAGAACCAAAACAGTAACCTTTTCTTTATTTTTTCTTAACTGTGCTCTGTTGGCTCAGGGGTCTTGGGTCTGTCATATGGTGGTTGCCTGGTAAACTTTGTTTTGTGCTTATTGAATAATATTAGGTAAATCTTTAACTCACTTCCTGGCATTCTGTTATTCAGTTTTGATATGTATATGTCCACTTTCCATTGCCTACCAACCATTGGACTGGTTAGAACACCATTCTATGCTTTGAGCCTTTTGTTTACTGTTTGAGTAGTCTATAAATCTTGACAGACATGTTTGCCATTGCTTATGGCCTGCTGTGCTTTGATTAACCCTTGATTACCCTCAATGAGATGGATTGACACAGGGGCTGCAACAATGGCCTCAACATAGCAAAGACTATGAGGATGGCACAAGACTGAGTAGTATTTCGTCTGTTGTACATTGGGTTGCTGTGAGTTGGAACTGGCGCAGCGGCACCTAACAACAATACCTGAGTTCAGAAACAATAAGGGTAGGGGCTCAGCAATCTTTATCTTAAAATAATTTCTCCTGGTGATTTTTTTTTTTTTTTTAAGTTGAGAAGTAGAAGTATTTTTATAACCTGTATTCCATACATACAATTCATAAAGAAATATGTTTTATTTATACCTGTGGTTCAGATTGGGTTTTAGATTAGATAGATAAAAAGGGGTTACAAATTTAAAAGTTTTATGTTAACTGAAAAGCTCTAGCCTATGTCAATTTTTCTAGCACAGTTACTTCTGTTCCTCATTCTATTATTTTCTTTTCTTTTATGATTTGGGTGAAAGTTTACAGAGCAAATTCACTTTCTATACAGCAGCTCACATACACTTTGTCTCATGACATTGATTACAATTTACCACAGCACAGCCGCTCTGCTCCCACTTCCTCCCCATAGTTACCTCTTCCCTGTGTCCTTCCCTCCGTACACTCCTGCCGACCACGCTGTCTCCTTGTGCATGCACAGCCCTTCTATTCTCCCATGATAGTTCTCTCCAAGGAGTGTATCTACCTAGTATAAATGTTCACCTCATATGCCTGTCTTTTGTTTGGCTGGAAGCCACATTTCCAGGTGATTTTGATGCATACTGAAGTTTGAGAAGTACTGATCTAGGAAACTGAGAAATTTCACATGGCTTAATTATAGGAGTATGTGATGAAAGATGAAGAGGAAGCGTAAGCAGAAATAAGGCAATGAAGGCCCTTCTGTGCTTTGTTAAAGAGTTTTGTCCTAAAGCTCACAAAGAAAACAATAAATAAAATAAACTCACTGCCATCGAGTCGGATCTGATTCATAGTGACCCCTCCTTCGGTTTCCAAGGCAGTATCGCTATGGAAGTAGATTGCCCAATTTTCCTTCCGAGGAGTGGCTGGTAGGTTTGAACTGCCAGCCTTCTGGTCAAATGCCTTAGGAACTATGCCACCGGAGCTCCTAAAGCTCACAAGTATCCTCTCAAGGACTTTTGATTGCAGGAGGATATCTTTTGAGCTGGCTTTTTGTGCAAATAAAACTAGTGTTACAAGTTAGAATATTTCATTTTATCTATAAATACAATTTAATTAACTCCATTTTTCAAACTTATATAAAATTAAACACTGAAAAATAGATTCCTACCTTCATCAATGCTATCTGTATGTTTGGACAGGATTTCTGAATGACTGCTCATTTTCAGCCTATCAAGGTAGTTATATTTTGTTTATATGGACTTGATCCAAATTTTGACTTTAATAACTTTCTATGTGTTTGTTTTAGAAATGAAAAGTATTATACCAAGTCATAAAATATGTATTCTTTGAGAAAGGATAGATCCAAGATTTATGAAATAGCAGCTCCATAATTGTTCTAATATTTTCAACTGTTTGGAAAATCATACTGAAATAGATATTATAAAACATAAAGCCTTGAAATAATGCTGTGCTTTTGTTTCAGTATATGAGATATTTAAAAAATGCTTCTTATAGTTTACTTCTGTTATATTTTACTTTATTTGAAGTTTAAAAGCTTGAACTTGCACAAGGACTTCATATCTATTGTGAGGGTGGAACTTGATTCTAAGAATTGAAACAATACATGGATCATATATATTCATACTACATTTTCCTTTTTTAAAAATTTCTATTTAGGAAATGGCTGGTTTCTTGATGATATTCTGGTCAGAGATCCCACAACAAACCATGAATATGCCTTCTCATGTTGCAGGTTTGTAGATGTGCCTTTACCTTGAACAAATTAATTTCATATTAGTCAGTTTCCAGTTTATGTATTTTTGAGAACTAAGAGCACTTATTCAGTTCTTATAAGGTTGGTGATGCTTTGTTGCCTAACTTTTGTAAATATTAATTTTAAAGGCTGCTTTTATTGAGAGAGATATCTATTATGTTATATCTATTATGTTTTTCAACCTTCCTGGCAACGTAAATTTAAAATTTTTCTTGGTAAATTAAGATAATTTTTTTTTTTTTTGGTAGGATTTCTCCCTGTCTCTCACTTTTTAAATAACTTTTTATTGTGATTTGGGTGAAAGTTTACATAATATTGTATTCAACAGTTCACACACATTTTGTTTTGTGACATTGATTGCAATCCCCACAATGTAGCAATATTCTTCCCACTTCCTCTCTGTTTACTGTTTCAGTTAGTCCTTCTTTTTTATCCCTTCCTGCCTTCCGAACTTTACTCCTGGGAAAATACTGCCCTTTTTGATCTCCTATAATTGATTGTTCTAAAGAGTACATACCCCCTGGTGTTCACTCAATAGGACTGTCTGTTGTTTGGCCATGGGGGGTGAGTTCAATTCCAGGCATGAAGGGTCATAGTCTTGAGGGTTCCACCAAGCTTCATCAGAACAGTAAGCCTGGTCTTTTTTTTTTTTTTTTTTGCTATTTTGAGTTTTGTTCCACATTTTCCTTCCACTGTATCCAGTGTATCTTACTGTGTTCTCTTTCACAGCAGATAGCAGTGGTAGCTAGACACCATATAGCTCTTCTGGTCCCAGGACTGTGAAGGCTGAGGTTTGCTTGGTCTGTTACTCCTTTGGACTAATAGTTTCCATGCATCTTTGATTTTCTTTACTCTTCTTTGCTCTGGCGGGGCAAAGCTTTCAAGATCCTTATTACCGCTCACCAAAGTAGAATGTATAACATTGTCTTTCTGAACTACATAATGCCAATTGAACTTGATGTCCCCTGATACTATGGTCTTGAGAGGTCAGGCCCAGCGACCCATTTCCTCAATGTGTTTAGTTATGGCTAAGAAGTTTTCATAACTTTGTTTCCTGTGTGCTCTACTATATTCGTGGCTACATTGGCAGCACATATAGATACATATGTAGAAATATCCTCTGTCAAACCTGTATATATTCTTGGGTGTAGTCCCGTTTTCCTTCCTACCCCTGTTCAGATAGTGTCTCTCTATGCATCCACTCATATATTATTATTACTACTGTTAATGCAGGATTATGTATGTGATAGCATTTATCTTTGTTGTCTTTAAATCATAGTTTTTCCAATGTCGTCTTTTTCCTTGATCATTTTGTGCTGACCTCCCTCTTATATATTGCCTTTCCCTTCACCTATATTAATATGTGTCTACCCTCTAGTTAGTGATTTAGTCTTCCTTCCCCTTCCACCCCTGGTAACCTTCAAAGAATGTTTCTTTCTATGTGTAAACATTTTCTTGACTTTTTACAGTAATGGTCTTATACAACATTTGCTCTTTTGTGATTGACTAATTGCACTCATCATAATGTCCTTCAGCTTCATCCACGTTATGAGGTGTTTCACAGATTCATCATTGTTCTTTAACATTGCTTAGTATTTTATTCTGTGCATGTAATATATTTGTTTATCCATTCTGCAGTTGATAGGCACTTAGGCTTTTTCCATATTTTTGCCAATGTGAATAATGCTGTGATGAACATGGGTGTGTATATGTATATTTGTGTCATGGCTATTATTTCTCTAGGATATATGCCTAGTACTGTGATTGCTGGCCAAAATGGTATTTTTATTTCCAATTTTTAAGGAAGTGCCATACTGTTTTTGATAGTGGTTGTACAATTTTATAGTCCCATCAGCAGTGTAGAAGGGTTCCATTCTCTCTAAATCCTTGCGAAAATTTGTTGTTTTCTGTTTTTTCGAACTTGTTGTTAATGCTGGATTGAGAGAGTATCTTATTGTTATTTTCTGTGTGTAAACCTTTTCTTGACTTTTTATTTCTCTAATGACTAATGACTTCATATTACTTGGTTATACAATCAATGGCAGTGGAAGCAGCAGTCAAGACATCAAAAGACATATTGCATTGGGCAAATCTATTGCAAAAGACCTCTTTCAGTTGCTGAACAGCAAAGATAACTCCTGGAGACTAACATGCTCCTAACCCAAGCTATGGTATTTTCAATCTCCTCATATGCATGTGGGAGCTCTGGTGGTGTAGTGCCTAAGGCATTTGACTGCTAACCAAAAGGGTCGTGGTTCAAACCTACCGGCCACTCCTCAGAAGATTGGGCAATCTACTTCTGTAGTGTTACTGCCTCGGAAACCCAAGGAAAGGTTGCTATGAGTCAGATATGTTTCAATGACATTGAGTTTGGTTTGGTAGTTTCATGTACATGTGAGAGCTGGACAATGAATAAGGGAGACTGAAGAAGAGTTGATGTTTTTGAGTTGTGGTATTGGCAAAGAATGGTGAAAGTACTTTGGACTGCTGAAAGAACTAACAAATCTGGAATAAGTGCACCTGAAATGCTCCTTGGCAATAAGAATGGCCATACTTTATCTCACCTACTTTGGTCATGTTTTTAGAAGGGACCATTCCCTGAGAAGGATGTCATGCTTGGTAAAGTGGAGGGTCAACAAAAGTGGGGAAGGCCCTCAACAAGATGGATTGACACAGTGGCTGCAGCAATGGGCTCAGGTATAGTGGTGATCATGATGCTGGCACGGGACTGGGCAGTGTTTCATTCTGTTGTCCATAAAGTTGTTATGAGTCAGAGATGACTCAATGGCACGTAACAACAACGACTTATGATGGTGAGCATTTCTTCATGTATTGGTTGGCTACCTCAAAGTCTGCTTTGGTAAAGTGTCTCTTCATGTCCTCTGCCCATTTTTTAATTTAATTGTTTGTCTTTTTCTTGTTGGGTTGTTTAAGTTTTCTATAAATTTTACAGATTAGTCCTTTGTCTGAAATATTATTCCAAGATTTTTTTTCCCTGTCTGTACATTCTTTTTTCTCATTTTTAGTGAAGTCTTTTGATGTGCATAAATGTTTAATTTTCAGGAGGTCCTAGTTTAGTTTGTCTTTTTGTTTGCATTTTTAGCTATTTTTGATATGTATTTATGCTGTATATTTGGGGCATTAAGTTTGCCTCTATTTTTTTCTTTGATGATCTTTAAAATTTTAGATTTTACATCTAGGTATTTGATCCATCTTGTGGTAGTTTTTGTATATGATGAGACATAGTGATAGTATTTGAATTTTCTGCAAATGAATATCCAGTTTTGCCTGCACCATTTGTTAAAGAGACTATCTCTTCCTCCATTTAATGGGTTTTGGCCCTTTGTTGAAGATTAGCTGTCCAGTGGATTTACTTCTGGGATATAGATTTTGTTCTTTTGATGTATGTATCTGTCATTATACTAGTACTAAGATGTTTTAAAATCAGGTTTAAAATCAGGAAGGGAGTTTGTCAGGGTTGTATCCTTTCACCATATTTACTCAATCTGTATACTAAGAAAATAATCCAAGAAGCTGGATTATATTAAGAAGAATGTGGCATCAGGATTGGAGGAAGATCCATTAACAACCTGAGATACGCAGATGACACAACTTTGCTTGCTGAAAGTGAGGATGTTTTGAAGCACTTACTGATGAAGATTAAAGACTACAGTCTGCAGTATGGATTACACCTCAGTATAAAGAAAACAAAAATCCCCACAACTGAACCAATAAGCAGCATCATGATAAATGGAGAAAAGATTGAAGTTGTCAAAGACTTCATATTACTTGGTTCTACAATCAACACCAATGGAAGCAGCAGTCAAGACATTAGTCGATGTATTGCACTAGGCAAATCTGTTGCAAAAGACCTCTTTTAAGTGCTGAAAAACAAAGATGTCTTCTTGAAGACTAAGGTGCACTAACCCAAGCCATAGTATTTTCAATCACCTCATATGCATGTGAAAGCTGGACAATGAATAAGGAAGGCTGAAGAAGAGTTGATGCTTTTGAGTTGTGATTTTGGTGAAGAATACTGAAAGTACTATGGACTGCTAGAAAAACTAACAAATCTGCCCTAGAAGAAGTGCAGCCAGAATGCTTCTTAGAAGCAATAATGGTCAGACTTCATCTTAGACCATTCCCTGGAGAAGGATATCATCCTTGGTAGACTGGAGTGTCAATGAAAGAGGGGAAGTCCCTCAACAAGAAGGATTGACAGAGTGGCTGCAACAATGGACTCAGGTATAATAGGGATTATGAGGCTGGCACAGGACCGGGCAGTATTTCATTCTATTGTACATAGGGTTGCTTTGAGTCAGACATGACTCAATGGCATGTAACAACAACAACAATGACTAATGATGGTGAGCATTTCTTCATGTATTTGTTGGCTACCTCAGTGTCTGCTTTGGTAAAGTGTCTGTTCATGTCCTCTGCCGATTCTTTAATTCAATTGTTTGTCTTGATGGCACCTAACAACAGCAATGAGCTGTTTTGACTACTGTGGCTGTATTAGGTTTTGAGATTGGGAAGTATGAGACCTCCTATTTTGTTCCTCTTCTTTAGTAGTGTTTTGCTTACCTGAGATCTCCTTTCTTTCCATATAAAGTTTGTGAATAATTTTTCCATTTCTCTAATGAATGATGATGAAATCAGGAATGGCACTACATTATATCTCTAGATTGCTTTGGATAGTATTGATACTTTCACAATGTTAAATCTTCCTATTCATGGACATGGTATATTCTTCCATTTATGTAGATCCTTTTTCATTTTTTGTAGTAGTATTTTGTAGTTTTCTTTGTGTAGGTCTTTTGTTTCTCTTGTTAGTACTTCATCTTTTGAGTGGTTATTGTAAATGGTATTGTTTTCCTGATTTCCTTTTCAGAGTTCTCTTTGTTAGTGTAGAAGAATTCAACTGATCTTTATATGTTCATTTTGTACCCTACTACTTTCCTGAGTGATTTTTTTAGTTCCAGTCGTTTTCTTGCTGAATCTCTGGGATTTTCTATTTATAAGATTGTATCATCTGCAAATAGGGATAATTTTATTTCTTTGGTTTCTCTTTCTTCACATATGAATTAAGAGAATGAAGTCTCTGGGAAAAGCTTACTACCTTTGGACTAGTTTCCAGATTGGTTGAAAAATAATATATGTACAAAATAAATGACACTGTTCATCCACTGTCAATAGACCTTGAATTTGGGGTTATTTTTCCAGTAATGTGATGGATTTACTCTTTCTTTCTTTGTTCTCCTGCCTCTTTCATCATCAAACCAATAATAGCCATTTATGAAATAACTGGCTACAGTTTGAGCTATAGTTGGTTGCTAATGAACAGAATAAAACAAGTGGTCCAGTGGATGAAAAATACATTACTATGGGTTTCTTCCCATGGGAAAAAAAAAACTCCATTACTAAGAGATTAACTTTCCTGTAGATTGGGGAAATATATAGTTAATTTTTACCAGGTAGTTCTCCTTCTGTTCTTTACATTCTCACAGTCATCTCCAGCATTTCCTTCTGCATTCCCCACTCCACAGTGCTTTTCTTGATTCCTGTTTCTCATTATTTCTGACTTGAGGAGATAAGTGTCAATGGTTCATGTAAATATAAAGTTTGGTTATAATTAGTACCCTTTCATTTCCACAGGTGGCTGGATCAAGGGGAAGATGATGGTAAAATTGCCAGAGAGCTGTATGCCAGTGAGAACAGCATCTTCTCTGGGAGTGAGTGCTATGTACACACATCTTGGGAAATTCTGTTTTACTGCAGAAGCTGATTGAAGAAGGCTTAATATCATTGAAATAATGGTCTTCTCTTTCTTCTATCTCCTCAGGGAAGAAGTTAGAACTTAAGAGAAAAGAAACAGTAAGACTGCTTTTGCCCTTAAATTAATTAATACAAAAAATGTTGTAGTAGCTATTTGATGTGTTAAAGCAAAATGGGATATGCTTAGTAGGGGATATTTCTTTGTGATTTTTTTCTTTCTTATCTTCTCATACTGATGTTTTTGTTTGTTTTATTTTGTTTTCATTCAGTGGGTTGCAGAAAGCTGGAAGTTTATGAAAAGAAATACTCTTCAGTTCTATAGCAAGCTTACTGGAGGGTTTATCCGCCTGCATCCAGATGGCACAGTTGACGCAGTTGGAAAGAAGTCAGACAAATATGGTAAAACCATTGGGTAAAGCATAGGGAGCTGTGGCAGGTCTAAGAGCTGGTGGAAGGCAGATTTCTAGAATCCTTTTATAGTTTCTTTTTTCTTCTTTTTTCCTATGGCTTTAGGCCAGTGTTAGACCATTTAAATAATTCACTATCCCCATTAATACAGATGATCAATAGATGACAGAATTTAAAATCTGGGGAAACAGTGTCATTATGCAAAATAGTACACCATGAAAAAAATTATGTTTGGTATTACTTAACTGAAGAATAAAAATGCAAGCAGTTAACATTAATTGTTCATAAAATGCAGGAGTTGTGGCTCTTGAATGGTGTAAACATTTAAGAAATTAAGCCAGTTCTAATAAATACATTATTGAGTGCTTATTATCCATAACACTGTTAAATAATTTGGGTTATCACAGACATAACTATGAAAATAAAATTGAATTTCAGAGCTTTGTAATCTAATGAAGCAGACAAACGTACACAGTTCTAATAGTGGTTGGTTGTAGCTACTGTCACAATACAGGTACAAAGAAAATACTAGGCAAAGAAAAACTAGATTGATGTTTAGTATGAAGTCATGATCATAAGAATTAATAAATGAGTAAACTGATAATGAAATCTCTTTGACTATAAATTCAAACCTCCAACTTTTCTTGAAATATGGACCTTTGATATTTAAAGAAAATTTGTCTTCTTTATGTATTAGTGTAACTTTGCTATACTTAGAAACTGCACTGTACGAATAGCCTCTAGGATGTGCCAGAGATGCTAACCTATAGCATTTAATCAAAATGTAGACTTCATATTAGAGATTCCAAGGAATAATCTGCTTTTCTTCTTTATGCATTTTAAGAATATCTCATAGTAGTTTCTCTTTGCAAAATTAATCTAGTCCTTAGATGTGTTTCATACTGATAGGTTCCCACTTGGGATCACTTACCCATTTAAATCATGGGGGATGGCCTCATCATATGCTGTGCCCTGAGTTTCCTCTTGCTAATTCTGTTATTTTTTCCCAAATTGAGTATGGTAGATTGTATTTCCAGATATGATCACAATAATATTGCCTCTTGTGAAGTCACAAACTATGAGGGGTCTTATCCTACTTGCAGGAAGCACAAGATTCTGAGACCCAGCCCATTTATTTCTCTTGGCAAAAGCAACTGCCAGAGCAGTATCTTACAGTGGTTGTCCAAGCCTCAATTCCTACAGGGTGACATGGTGTGGGCCAAATGCTATCTGCATATACAGTGGAGTGCAATAAAAGACAGAAACCTTGATATTAGAAAATTCTGATTTTATATCGGGCTACTGATGACCTTGCCCATTCTACCCTTTAGAAGTGTTATCTTTACTCTGGAATGTAAGCAAATATTTCTATGGGGAAGGTGTATCTAGGTTTATTAGCCTGGAATATAAGCACATCTCTTCCAGAGAAGGCAGAGAAAGTCTGTACCTTTACTACCCTGGAGTGTCTCTGAGGAGAGGGTTCTCTCTAAAATTTACTTCCCTAAAATGTCTCCTTGTACAAACATTTTGTAAATGCCTTTGCTCAGAGATACTGGACTGTGCAGGAATATGAGAAATCTAGGGGAAGTTGTTTTCTAACAGCCATCTCATCATCTCGTTTACAAAGGAAACTTGATGCTCTTGTATCAAGAAGTTAAGCTTATTTCCCAACTCATTGTTTGGCTGGTCAGGTAATATGTGTGAGTAATGAGTAATATAACGCAGCTAAAGTACCACTCTAACTTCCATGTTCTGCATCTTCCACATCACTTCTTGGATCACACCCTCTTGGAACTCAGCCCTGAGTTCTAAGTGAGGAAACCCCAACAGTTCTGCAGAGAGGTCCTCATAGAAGAGAACTGACACTCCTGACTGGTCTAGTGGGTACCCAGCCTGCACCTGGGCCACTGCCTGAGAATCTATGTATATATTAAATTCACTGATAGATGATGCAGATAGAGAAACTTTTGCCCTTAAGTGTTTTTAGCATCTTAATATTCTAGCCTTTCAATATATAAACTAGAATGAGAAGTGCTAAAAAGGCAGGTGCAGGTTAGTATGAATAATTTTCCTCAGAGAAATTGACATTTTTGTAACAAGAGGTTTTTAATGTGTGATAATTACTTGCAGGATTATTTCTTGATGATATATATGCTCAGTGTTCTATCAATTCACACTCGTGAAATCAGTTTTCACATTCCTAGAAAGTGCTGTGATGAAATCATGCTGACTTGTGGACAGCTCTCAAAAGAATAATTTAAGAATATGTTTCTGAGATATATTGGCTTATGACTTTTACTCTTATTTTCTTCACATGTACCGAACTGTCTATTTAGTTATTATGGTAATTGTGAGTTTAGCTTTTCCGAGGCACAGAGCATTAGAACGCTCATATCTCTAAGAACTACTGAAACTTTCTCTGGCAGTACAGGAAAAAAAAAAAAAAAAACAGACACACAGCATGAGAAGGTCTTTGAAATGCCACAGAGAGTTTTATTTTATGATCATAAATGCTTTTAAAAAAACTATGATTTGGGTAAAAATTTAGAGAGAAAATTCATTTTCCATACAGCAGTTCACATACACTTTGTCTCATGTTATTGACCGCAATTTTCCACAATGCAACAGCTCTCTTCCCACTTGCTCCCCATAGTTACCTCTTCCCTGTGTCTTTCCCTCCCATGAGTTCCTGCCCCCCTATGCTGTTTCCCTGTGCATACAAATCCCTTCTATTCTCCCATGATTGATCTCTCCAAGGAATATATCTACCTGATATAAATATTCAGCTCATATGCCTGTCTTTCATTTGGCTGGAAGCCACAGGAGTGGGTTCAATTCCAGACCTGAAGGGTAGCTAGGGACCATAGTCTCAAGGGTTTCACCAGGCTCTTTCAGACCAGCAAACTGGGTCCCTTTATTTATTTATTTATTTTTAAATGGTTTTTGAGTTATGTTCCTCATTGTTCTCCCACTCTATCCAGGATCTCCTACACAGCTCCCTCTCCAAATGATTGACAGTGATAGCCAGGCACTATCTAGTTTCTCTGGTCTCATAGGATCGTATGGTGTACCAGTTGCTTGGACTAATTGTTTCCATATGTCTTTGGATTTCTTCATTCTTCTTTGCTGTGGATGAGGAGAGACTCATCATTGCATCTAGATGTCTGCTTGCAAGCTTTTAAGATCCCAGTCACTACTTGCCAAAGTAGGATGTGGAACAATGTTTTTGTGTAATATGTTATGCCACTTGAGCTGGATGTCCCCTGGGACCATGGTCCTGAGTCCACAGGTCCAATTACTAGCTCCCTTGGGTAGCTGGCTATAGCCAAGAAATGACTACAACCTTACCCCTTGTTAGCTCTGCTATATACCTGGGAATTCTTACAGAACGTACAAATACACCTGTAGAAACATTGTCTACCAACCCTGTACATGGTTATGGGCATACTCCTCCCTCCATAGACATACCTGATCATTCACCTTATCCACCTCTATATCAATGTTTGCCATCACTGACAACACAGCACTGTATGTGCAAAAGGGTTCATCTTTGTTGTCTGTACCTCCCATGCACCTCTCTATGTCTTCCTCTTCCTCAGAGCCACTGTGTTGATCGCTCACATTTGGTACATTTTTCTACTCTTCACCCAAATCAATACTTGTATCTACCTATCTAGCAGTATTCCTTCCCCTTCCCTCCCACCCTTAGTAATGAACAAAGAAATTTTCCTCCATATATAAAACTTTCCTTTACTTTTTACAATAACAGACTAATACAATATTTGTCCTTCTGTTATTGACTTACTTCACTCAGCATAATGTCCTCCAAGTTCATCCATCTTATGTGATGTTTTGTGCATTCTACATCATTCTTTGGGGTTGCATAGTATTCCATTGTGTGTATGTACCATAGTTTGGTTATCCATTCTTCTGTTGATGGGCACCTAGGTTGTTTCCATCTTTTTGCTGTTGTAAATAGTGCTATGATGAAGATGGATGTGCATATATCTGTTTTTGTTCTGACTCTCACTTCTTTAGGATATATATTTAGCAGTGGAATTCCTGGGTCAAATGGTATTTCTAATTCCAACTTTTAAAGGAATCACCATACTGCTTTCCACAGTGGTTGTATCATTTGACAGTCCTACCGGCTAAGACACTTGCCTGCTAACCAGACGGCTGGCGGTTCAAACCCACCAGCCACTCCTCGGAAGGAAGGTTGGGCAATCCTACTTCCGTAGTGATACTGCCTCGGAAACCCAAGGAGGGGTCGCTATGAGTCGGGGCCGACTCGACGGCACATAACAACAACATAACAACAACCAGCAGTGTAGGAGAGTCCCAGTCTCTCCAGATCCTTGCCAGCATTTGTTATTTTCTGTCTTGTTGAACTTTGCTATTAGTGCTGGGGCAAGATGGTATCTCATTGTTTGATTTGCATCGCTCTAATGTCTAATGATAGTGAACATTTCTTTATTTGTTTCTTGGCCACCTGAATATCCTTTTTGGTAAATTATCTACTCATGTCTTCTGCCCATTTTTCAATTGGATTATTTGTCTTTTTGTTGTTGAAGTGTTGGAGTTTTCTATATATTTCAGAGATAAGTCCTTTGTCAGATATGTCATTGCCAAATATTTTTTCCATATCTGTAGGTTCTCTTTTGACTCTTTTGGAGAAGTGTTTTGAAGCACATAAATATTAAATTTTCAGAAGGTCCCATTCATGTAGTTTCTCTTCTGCTGTTTGTGCATTTTGGGTTATGCTTGACAGTCTATGCCATAAATCAGGGCCCCTAAATTTGTCCCTGGGAGCTCTGGTAGCATAGTGCCTAAGGCACTTGACTGCTAACCAGAAGGCTGATGGTTCAAACCCACCAGCCACTCCTTGGAAGGAAGATGGGGCAATCTACTTCCATAGTGATATTGCCTCAGAAACCCAATTCACTAGTTGGTAGCACTCATGCACTCACCACCTGTCTCCTTTCCATTCC